AAATAACTCAGAGTCGCCACCTGGCATTTGATTTCGGTGTGCCAGCTTTTTTTAAAAAATATTTTCCTTTTAAAACACTTGGACTCAAAACTAAGTCCGCACCAGAGGTTTGGGTAAAGGGGTTTAATTGACTCGGGGAGAAGGTGTTAGGCATTCCCCGAGTCCCGTGAAAGTCACGGTTGCGTACTCGATTTAGTTGGCTTTTAGAATATTCGAATTGAGACAAAACACAAACACAGAAAAGAAAAACAAACACACAAGAGGTTCGAAGTCGTTCCACCTAATAAAAGGAAAATAAAACTAAAACCAAAAAAATACTACGAGTTTCACTTTAGGCCTCCAAATACAAGTACTACGGGGCATTCCCCGGATAAAATATATACAAATCCCTCGGGGCATTCCCCGGATAAATTTAACTAAGGGAACGACCTTTCGCCTCGATACTAATAAAATCCTAAAGCTTGCCTACCCAAGTGCGGTCGGCCTAACATGCTCCTAGTGACCAAAGTGAAATAAGAGAATAAAATGTGATAAGAAACATAAAGGATGCAAATTACCCTTTTAATCTCAAATCCCCAACCCCCACGACCATGTACAGTACTTCTAATTCATAAAGATAAAGTCAAATAAAGGGACAAACATCAAACTATTGGAATGAAGGAACAAGTAAATGGCAGTAAACAAACAAAAAGAGACGAAGCCTGGGTTAAACATCAAAGGACGGCCCTTCTAACAACAGAGAAACATTTGTATAATTGTCAAATCTTGAACACAACAAAACATTTAATTTAAGCAAAAATCACATTCAACCTCAAATCCATGAAACATCCAAGTAAATCATAATGCAAAAAGTGCCAATAAACAAAGTGAGTTGACAGAACACTTGAGATGATCTTAAAATAATAACTAACATGGATACCACACCCTTTCCCAAAATGCACCCTACTTGATTTACTAACTCATGACAAACTAACTATATCGGAACACAACTCACAAATCCAAGCCAACTAGTTCTGTCTAATCATGGAAACAACAGAGAACTTCTAGTCCAACATATGTGAAAAGGTATAGATCCGCCAATTTGATAGAGCAATGAGTCACATGTTATATGGATCCACTGGAAGGCATGGCAGTGTTATTCAAAACAGGGAATACCAGTTGACTCACTCATAAACTACTACACCAAATAACTTAGAGAATTCTAAGAAAACTGTTGTTCTTTCAATTACATTTGAAGAAAGTTTGCAGCGGGGAAAATTTTCACAACTTAGCCTAAACTTCTCAAGACATAAAGTCAATTAAGTGATAATTTTAGTGTCGAAAGTGAAAAGAGCGTGCCAGTAAACATCACGCTTGCCTCAAGATAACTGAACCTAATGAACTTGGCATCAAGAAAACACTAGCAAGAACAGCGTATGGAATACAGTTTCATCAAGATTAGTTCCAATGCTTCGATATTAATCTATCACACTAATTAAAACAAGCAGGGATCCAAATAGTTCATGCTCGTTTACCGTCTAAGAGATTTCACCTGAAGAATCTGATGAACACACAATTGACATAAACGGAACAGGATTCCAAGAAAGTCACAGAATACTCAACAAGCTCACAACTTTCAAAGCTTCACAAACAGGCTATTCGATTCAGGGAGCTATACAAAGAATTAGATCAGCTATTTCGATTTCTTGAAGCCACGTAATCAATCCTTCAGTAGTAGGAGGCAAACAGATTCGAAGTTAAAGTATACTTCCAACACAAGGACAGAACAGAACACATTCATACCGAAGAGAATTCATCCGCAATCAATCAACATTCAAAACCAGCAAAAAATTGACTCTACTAACATGCGAATTCGATTGTCTTGTTCTATACTCTCATCCTATTTCAATCGGACACCAAACAGAACAAAAAGAGTAAGGAAATGGACCTGAATGTTGAAAGCTTTTGATTGAATTTGTTTGTATGCGATTACGAACTGACTTTGCGATGAAGTTTTGAAATGAACAAGTAAAACAGCAGCAGCAGCAGCAGGAACCACGAACCAGAATTCGACCTCAAATGAACCTCAGAAACTCGAATCGACACCTCGACTCAATTTTGCGACGAACACACAACCAAACTTCAGTCGGGCAGAATGGAAACCATCTCCATTTTTTGCAACCAAAAATCGAAATTGGAAAAGAAGAGACGGAACATATATTTTTTGCGTTTTTCTTTTATGCAGTGATCGAAGCAAAAGAAAGAAAGAACACTGATTTTCTTTCTATATCTTTTTGTATTTTTTTTTCGAAATTAAACTATGTCTAAAAATCTGAAAAATGAAAACAGAAGGAGAGTTTCTTTGTGAACCTTAGCTTTTTCCCCCAATCTCCGTCTCTGCCCTTTTCTGTCCAGAAAAACTCAAATATATATGAAGCCCTAGAAGCTTCTTCTCCTCTTCTCCAAGAAATCCCAAAACCGTGTGAACCCCAAAATCAAATCCGGAAATCCCCTTTCACAAACAAAAATCGGAAAAATGGAAATTTTGGACAAAAATCTTTATCCAATGGTTCCTTCCAAGATTCATTCAAGGGTCCGGATTTGCTTCAAAAAAACGAAGAGACGCGTGAATCGGTTCAAAGAATCATGAGATTTGTACGGAATGAATGCCGTGGAAGAAGGAGAGAAGAGAGGAGGGGACCATTGGGGGACCAGTGGGTGAACTCGCCGGGTTTGGGGCGAGTTCCGGCGAGTTTGGAGTAAGGGACGCGGCAGAGGCGGGGGCTGCGGCTGTGGGAATTTGGGGCTAGGGTTTGGGATGTTAGGGGTTAGGTTAAGATTTGGTTTATATCTTGGTAAAGGGAACTAATTGGGACCGTTGGATCCGGGATTTTAGACGGCTGAGATTAGAAATTACAAATAGGGCGGGTCGTGGGTGTTGGGTCGGCGGGTCAGGGGTGTTGGGTTGCCGATTTGGGCCTTTTCTTAATTTGGGCCAAAAATTTGTACTTCTTTCAATTTTTAAAGGGATTTTTTCTTATCTATACCATATATGAAACCTTATTACTAAAAATGTGCATAGTATCTAAATTACCCACCTAGTCCACATTTTTCCTACAATTTCTGTACCATTTGTTTAATACACGATTAATTGGGCAGAATCTTCCATAATTAACGAGCTAAAAATCAGGAAAAAATCTTGCGATTGATTGAGTCTGCATTAAAATTCTGCCTTAATCACCTGCGAAAAATCAGGAAGTCATTATGGAAGTAAATATTCTCCCAGATATTTTCCACCATTGATAGCCATTAAAAAGCTTGAAAGCTATGAATTCAAATTTGGGTTTTCAAAAATCATTATTTGTTTGGATTGGGTGTTATTGAAAATAATCGGGAATATGGTTTGGAGTTTATATCTCAATTTTGAGGGGTTTTGGTGAAGATTAGACTTGGTTTTGACTGAATTTCAGATTGAAACTCGAAGAAGAAGAAGAAGAAGACATATTGCTGAAATTGTAGATAAATTGTAAATTATTTGTATTCTGATTGTAGATGCTTTATTTTCTGTTTTCACAAATAAAAAACGGCTAAAACTTCTACATCGATTACAGTGATACCTTCTCTCGCGTGGCTAAGATAGCGTCAGTCCGCCTTTTTCTATCCATGGTTGTTGTTCGCTATTGGCCCCTCTATCAGCTGGACATTAAAAATGCTTTTTTACACGGTGACCTTGAGGATGAAGTTTATATTGAGCACCCACATGGGTTTGTTGCTCAGGGGGAGTCTCGTGGCCTTGTAAGTCGCTTGCGTCGGTCACTTTATGGTCTAAAGCAGTCTCCTCGAACCTGGTTTGGTAAGTTCAGCACAGTTATCCAGGAATTTGGCATGACTCGGAGTGAAGCTGATCACTCTGTATTCTATCGGCATTCTGCTTCGAGTTTCTGTATTTATCTGGTGGTCTATGTTGATGTCATTGTTATTACGGGCAATGACCACGATGGTATTACTAAATTGAAGCAACATCTATTTCAACACTTTCAGACTAAGGATTTGGGCGAACTAAAGTATTTTCTGGGTATTGAGGTCGCTCAGTCTAGCTCAGGTATTGTGATCTCACAACGGAAGTATGCCTTAGATATTCTTGAGGAGACAGGAATGACAGGTTGTAGACCTGTTAACACTCCGATGGATCCGAATTCTAAACTTCTGCCAGGACAGGGGGAGCCTCTTAGCGATCCTACAAAATATAGGCGGTTGGTTGGTAAATTAAATTACCTTACAGTGACAAGACCTGACATTTCCTTTCTTCGGTATATAAAATCAGCTCCAGGTAAAGGTTTATTGTTTAAGGATCGAGGCCATGAACAGATCGTTGGATACTCAGATGCTGATTGGCCAAGATCACCTTCTGATAGACGTTCTACTTCTGGATATTATGTCTTAGTAGGAGGAAATTTGGTATCTTGGAAGAGCATGAAACAGAATGTGGTTGCTCGTTCTAGTGCAGAAGCACAATATCGAGCAATGGATATGGCGACATGTGAGCTAATTTGGATCAAACAGTTGCTCAAGGAGTTGAAATTTGGTGAGATTAATCAGATGGGACTTGTGTGTGATAATCAAGCTGCTCTTCATATTGCGTCAAATTCAGTGTTCCATGAGAGAACTAAACACATTGAGATTGACTGTCACTTTGTCAGAGAAAAGATACACTCGGGAAATATTGCTAAAAAGTTTGTGAAGTCGAATGATCAGCTTGCAAATATTTTCACCAAGTCTCTCACTGGTCCTCGTATTAACTACATATGTAACAATCTCGGTACATATGATTTATATGCACCAGCTTGAGGGGGAGTGTTAGAATAGTTATGTAATACTAAATAGTAGTAAATAACCCTAATCACATATGTATTAGGAGCTCATTGTATCATGTTTAACATATGAGAATAATATCAATAATATTTTCTCTCATGCTTTCTCACAGGAAGCATATAGAGAACAATAGAATATCTCACCTGAGGAACTTGGGTTGTCTAACCACAACCTGTCTCACCACAAACTATTACACACGTGTTCTCATTTATAGCTTCCATTATCTCCTGTTCCATCATGACTATCGGCAGATCGCTCCTCTTATTTTCAACCTCCTTTGGTCTTGAAACGTGCACCACAGTTGGAGTTGTTAAAGCTCTTTGAGGAAGACTGTTAGCCGAGTTGCTACTATTGCTTAGAATGGCATTTTGAATATCCTTGGTACCATCCTGTTCAATATGAAGTGCCCACACAGAACAAGGATGACATGCATATGAGAGAGCCTCAACGAAAATTAGGTACCAAGTATATGGTTGACACAAAATAAAAGGCTGTATAAACTGAGAGTGAAGCAATACCATTGATTTCCTCTGTTCTTCGTTATAACAATCACAAATAGATGGATGATCTTGCTGATAATCTGACTTTAAATATTCTGTAGTTCTATCCTCTTCTTGCTTATTTTGCACCGAAGCATCTCCTCCGCAAACTAAAAGTCCACTCTGAGAAGTCAACTCTTCAGGAGACCCTGGAGTGACCAGTGCTTCACTTTGGACTTCACCTTTTCCTAAGGAGGACTGCAAAAGATTGCTATTGACTATTGGACTCGACTTCATTTTGTTAGAATCATCCAAGACATCACTAGTTAGGCTGTTGGCTGTCCTCTTCTTGACTGGTCGATCTTTATGTGGCATTTCTAACCCCGCCCTAGAAAACTGCACTTCTCTCCTACGCTTCTCTCGGCTAGTTTCAACCTACAGCATACGGGGCATGATTTTAGAGCTAAAGTCTAACAACCTATCACATGTAAAGTAAATATGGACAATTATACAAACCTGACCCAAGTTCCTTGAACACCACATAAGTGAATAAAGATCATCTTGGATCTGATACTTCCTGAAATGGGAATTATTTATCATTATCCAACAAAAAAAACTTCCTAGAATACTTAAAGAGAAAAGCTAGTCCAAGCAAAATGAGGAGAATTCTTAACTTCAAGGTCTTAATGCTTTACAGCTAAAACGGATTGATTTA